ATCAAGGGTAATTGTTTATTTCGATCTCTGAAATTTAAGCAAGATTCACAGTCTAGTAATAACTCAAGAATCTTAAGAGGTTTACATTAAGCGGGGCACCCTTCGCATGATCGGTACCGATGGCCTTGGTTTGATCGTTTCTGCATTGCGCATCGTATTTCAGTCGCGGATAATTGGGGTGTCTCCATGTACGGTCTATTTTTGTTCGCACTGACGATTTGGTGGTCCATGAATTGGGATGACGCAAGTGCCTGTCCCTATACCCACATCGAGGAGGTCGTCGAGGGGAAGAAATCGCTGCGCGACGCTTTCCTATTAATCTGGGCTGAGCTTGTCGGCGGTCTTGCCATTTTTAGATACGTGCAATTACTCTGGGCCCTGGAAATTGTTTCGACGCACAAAAACAAAGCATTCGAGGACTGCACCACTGATTTGCAAGTAAGAACGACGAACATTTGATGTATCGTTAATTGTTCGGCATAGAAGGAACCCTCGGTTTGTGATCGAGGATTCAACTCAAATATGCTTCCTACCTTTTCGAGATCGCTACTTGAATGATAAAAAAGCGTAATCTATGTATTTCTTTTTATATCGAACGATGGCGGTTAAACAAGAGTTAGGATTCCAAGATCTACGGGGTAGTAACGATAAACACGGAAAACACATTTGACTTATTGATAATATTTAATTTTATAATATCTTTTTAATTATTAGAAATATTGGGAATAATCAATAATTGTAGTATTTATATTTTAATATTAAATACAAGGAACGTATTTAATATCTAACATTTTTGATGATTGGTATGTCGCACTAACGTGTAAATGTAAGAAGGGGAGCTTTTTGAATCCATTTTTCAAAATGTTTGTTCTGAAACAATTGTTTTTTTTTAAGAAATTCTTATACTATTTACGAAAGGATAACAAACGAATTTTGCATTGCACTTATTTTCACTTATATGGATTTATTGTCTTATTGAACGTTTGTAATAGAATAAATTTGTTTTGTAAATTATTTAGTTTAAATGTTTGAAATAGTAGATCACACGAACGAAGCGTCAACTGAAAAGAATTATATTTTTCTCGTTCCCTAATTTTGCTAATAATAATTTAGTAGATTGTTTTACTTTACAAAATAATTTAAATATTAATTGTTCGAATTGTGAGATCGAGGGGGCTCAACTTAGGAATTTTAGAATTAAGCATGTCGTTAATATTCGCCTAATGCAATTTTAACTCCTGTTTCAAGGTGCCTGTAATATTCGGAGCATTCATCGAATGTGTAGCAACTTGCGTATACAGGGTCGTATCGCACGCTTTGAACGATATAAACCCGAAGTTCAGCATTATTATTGACTCTTTTATTGGAACAAGTTTGGTTATCGCAGGTTCGTCTAATTCAAAATATTTATTTAGACAAACAAAACTAACTACAATTTATTGAGTGAATTACTAAGTAAATTAGTCACGCGTTACTCATGCGTGATTGACTGAACAATTCACTTCATTGAATTATTAGTATGCTGTGCTTTTTTAACTTTCACACTTGTATATCTTCCAATTAGAATTTACAATTTTATGGAAAGAGAGATTACTTCTTTCAACAGAGATATTCGGGATAACATTTTTTGTGTACTTATGCCATCCGAAAATTTGTAAAACAGAAGAAAATATTTTCATTGATAGTAATTGATAAAACATTTCTACTTTAACGCAAGGAATTAAACCCAAGGAATATCTTAAACAATTAAATAGATTACTCCTCCTTCCTGATATTTAGAAAAATATCCCTTAAAATTGAAGCTTGCACGAAGATTCACAGTCTAATTAGCACAGTTTTATTAACTACAAAACATTGCTAGATGTCTGACTTAAATGTTTCATATATGCCAATAGAATAATGATCAGTGAAATTATAAGAATTATATAAATATTCTTCACTTAATAACATTATAATTTCAACTAAACGGTCGGAAAATAATGTTTCGTTTTCTCGCGAATGCTCAGGCGATCTAATTCTGTTGGTCGACACTTGCACATATTTTAAGAGACCCATTTACTTGCGAATGCACATCGATGCCCCGACTAAAAGTTTTGTCTATTTCCATTCTGTTTCCAGCGTTTGATTATTCTGGCGGCTACTTTAATCCAGCGCTGGCCACCGGTTTGAAATACGGATGTTTGGGGACCAGTTTTATGGAGCACGTGATCGTCTATTGGGTCGGAGCATGTGCCGGGTCCATTGTGTCTTTACGAGTTTATAGGCTGCCGTCTATTCAAAGCTTCGTGCAACGACATAAGGAGAAAACGCTTTAAGCACCAGACACCCTTCTTTATTTTGCCGCGAGTTTCACAGTTTGCGTTATTACGCTTTTTTTTCCTTTTTCGTCCTTTATCCAACTTGTAACTGCGTGTCTCTCTCTCCACGGATGTTTTCTCCCCCACCGATCAGATTATTACGAAACATTGTTTCTTCGCACAACCGGGTTTCGAAGTCCTCGCCGATTCGCGTTGCACGCTCGCGAACGGTTGAATGCTCGCACGAAGGCACAGTGCGATAGTCATAGTACAAGACCTTGTGTTCGAAATGAATAAAAGTGTACATAATGTATCATAATTGTACATAGAAATAAATCATTTTTAAGCAACTCCACCGCGAGTTTGTGATTTGAAAGGATGCGTATCTGTATAGCTGCTGAATATTATTTATTAGAACGTAACATTGCTCTTGAAAATTCACATGACGTTATAATTACAGTCGGAATATAATATTTGAAAGCGGTATAGCGATAATTAATATAATTATATTAATAATTAACATTAATACACACAGTTATATATAAAAACATTACAAATAAATATTTATCAAAAATATGAAAGAACGAATAACGATAAATAGAATCTGGAGACGTTCGCCGAAAATTCTGGTCGCCGAATGTCTTACAAGGCTATTCAGAAACATGTAAATAGATTCGTTATCTAGTGAAATCATATCAAACGGACCGTTTGTACATAAATGTTCGTTCAAATAATTCGAGAAGTTAGAACCGAAAGCAGTGTAGCAATCAATAAAGCGCAAATAGATGAACTGAATACGAGGAAAAAATATGCCGTGAAATGCATAGAAGAGTATTCTTCAGTAATCTATATATTATCACGAGGAAATATGGATTAACATTCACGATTCAGACAAAAAATTCTGCTTTAGACGACAGGTCCCAATGGACTGCTTCGTTCTTGTACATTTCGATGGTCTGCAACAGAGAATACCTTATTAAAATATAAGTAGTTCATGAATATCTTCTCTTGTTCAACGGAATAAATTCAAATCTACCGCGGTAATTTCGCCGTCCAGTTCAGCTACTTGTTTTTCGTGCGTTTTCGTCAACTTCTCCTTCTCACGACCTTGCTTGATCTGCACAGTTTTCCTTTCCTGCATGAACTTCTTCGTGTTTTGCTCCTTTTTCTCGCGGAGTCGACGGTCTTTGTCACCTTTCGACTTCAGCGTCTTGTCACTCATTACTTCCTTCGCTGTTTCCACAGATGCCTTTACTTGATTCGCATTCATATCCTTTATGTCTCTGAAAACAAGACATTTTTAAATCATATTTATATTTTACTGACCTCTTTCCTGATGCTTTGTATCATATCCTACCAGTACGTCCCTTCTACAACTTGAAATTTCTCTTGTTCGAGTACATATATACACTTATCGACAAAAGTTAAGGAGTATATTTGATTTTTATTTGATATTTGATATTTTAACAAATACACGTCTGATTAAACAAAAAATACATGTTATCATAAAACATATAACACACTTTTTAATTTAGCGTATACGATAAGTACAAAAAACGAAGTAATCAGATAAAAATTAAAAATTAAAAAATTATGAAGAAATAAAATTAATACATATTTCTTAACTTTTATCTTCATTAAAACATTCATTTTGAACTATGATTACAATTATCCACTTGTTCATAGGTTGAAATTAATATTGAAAATAAGAAGGAATGATCTGTTCCACACATTTTCTATTTTGAAATGATTCTTCATAGGAAAGAATTGAATAAACATAGTTCACACAAGCGTACTGTTGCGACGGCAACACCGAAGGTCGAAAATTAAGCGATATACCTGCGACAGTAAAAAATGCACCCGAACGAAAAAATACCCGACGAACGGACAACACGACTCATAAATTCCATATTTCCCAAAACGGAAAATTTACAAACGGAAATTTTCCCACTCCTCATTTCAAGTTCCTTCCGACACACCCATCTCCAATCAAAAACGCTTCATTTCCTCCACCAAAACCCACCGTACACCAATCAACAAAAAAACCGAGGCGACAAGCGAAAGGGCACCTAGAACGTCAGACAGAATTGTTAGAACCACCAGAACTGTTAGAACCATCAGAATTGTTAGAACCACCAGAACTGTTCGAACTCCCAGAACTCGTAGAACTCTAAGAACGCAGATAGAACGCAAATAACGCATCGCTAAGACCATAGCTGTAATATTATTAAAGTGTACGTAAAGGCAACCAGCGACTTCATTAAACTTAATTCCATTTGGAAACAGCGCGCACATACACGTACGTTATAATAAAAGTACCAAAAATCTAAATAAGATCAGTCTTGACACACATCAGTCGCTTTACTATACTCTGTAGATATAGTATTAACCCCTTGCCTTACTTTGACGAGTCCGACTCGTCATGAAAATTTCTAATAATAACTTATTGAGTATATATGTTATTCTGTCCATTAAAATATGAATAAAATTCTAATCTCTTGTCATCAATATTTAAGCAATCAAGTAAATTTAGGCACACAATAAGCATCAATTTTCTTTCCCTTTTAAGAAATTATGGTAATCGAAAAATTTCTAATCGCAGTAACTGCGAAGAGAATGGTATGTCAAGGGGTTAATACTCGACTTCCATGTTAGAGAAAACGAGTAGCGTCCACGTACTTGTCATGTTTCACTTGCAATTGCTTCACCTGCGCTGCTTGCACCACTTCAATTAATTTTTTGAACTCTTCCCTGGCGCTCTCCGTCTGAATCTTCAATAGCTCCCATTCCTCCTTCCGCTGCTTTTCCACCATGGCGGACCATTGAGCGGTCTGCTCGCTTATAGCTTTTTTCACATTGGCGTCTTGGATTAACGCGTTTTTGCTGTAACACACAGAATTCATCATTGCCAGCTGCGATCAGGCGCGACAGCAGCCGAGACAATTTCTGCTGAACGAAAGCAATAGTTTCGATTACATACTCTTTCCCTTTTACCAATTTATCAATGGTGGCGCAATGGTTCTTCTGCATCGTCTGCCGCTCCTTCTGATGCTTTTTCCTCATCGTGTCCAATTCCTTTAGCTGTTTCTTACCCTGCTTGAAGGTTTTTTCTCGTCGTAGCGAGTCTACCGTAATAGGCTCGGCTTTAAACTCCTCTAAAAATCGTGCAAATATGGATGCGAAAGTATTATAATCAGAATTTTGTTAGTCTAGGAACAAATATTGTCATTTCTCAAGAAGATTGTTATGTATATAGCGACTCACATAAGTGTTTGAACAAGTTTTCAAATGGGATATCTTTTTAAAAGTGGAGCATATGAATTTTATTGAGATGTTAAAGGGATTCGTTTAATTTAATCCAGTTAATTAAAATCTTAGACAAAGTGCAAGAAAATTTGTACACAAATTGCAACTGGATGGAATGACAGGAAAAGTAAGAATTTTTTCTCTGAATCTAGAACGAAAAAATTGAAACGTTTAATCAGTCTCAGTAACTTTCATGAAAACATTGTCTAATCGCTGTCTGACCCTACTTTATGATGAGATTTCGCACAGCAGTAGAGCTTGTAAAACTGAATCTAATAATACCCGGTTTTAGGTGTAGACCGGCGCTTCTCGTTTTTGAGATATTTAATGTTAAATTTGTTAGTAACAAAGCCAGAAAGAATAAGCTGTTGTGCTGCGTCGCGGTCAGGCATGCTAGAGAAGTGCTCACAAGTAGAGTAGAGAGTTTATCTTGCTGACTTTGTTGCTAACAACTTATAATATATAGAAATTAAATAAAAACTTATAATATATAATATATACAAAAATTATAAGTCGTCTGCATCCAAACCGGGTATCATTAAATTCAGTTTTAAAAGCTCTACCATCGTGCGAAATCTGATCAAAAAGTCTGCGTCAGGCTCGGAGACCTCTCCTAGTCAGAAAAATTCAAGACATTTGGCCTGCTTTCGAAAAAGTTATTTCGTTTGGAAAGATCGTTGTACATAAAATTATTTTGTCTTCGTTCAGACTGTTAAGGTGACATGCATATTAATAACTTGTTACAGTGGTATTCTCGAGTACCGAAGAAAAAGGTATTTTGTTTTCATTTTCACTCACGCAGCACAATCTAAGATTTACAAATAAATAGATCAGCTGTTTATAGCACTTTTGTCTTTCCTCTTCCAGGAGGCAGATCTTATTCGCTTTAATTGTAAGCTCCGCCGAATGTTAAACTGTCGTTACCACGAGTCACCCGAGCATGAAACGGGGATAATTAAGAAGGTTTATTCACCGGTTTTTCTTCTCGTCCCGAACGTTATGAATGAGATTTACTTAAAAAGTGTGTATACCCTTCTTAGCCTCCTCCTCTTTCTTCTTCTTCGCCTCGGCTTTCGCGTCGGTTTGCTCGATTCCAAGCCCTTTCATCGTCTCGGTTTGTTTTTCCGCTCCCTTGCTGAATCCGCCCGGATCAGACAGGGCAAGCATGAAGTCTGCAACCGAAGGAACCGTGCTCGAATCAGAGTCGTCCCAGCACATTTCTATTTTTGCCCGCGAAACTTGCTCAAGTTATTACCTTCGAATCCATCGGGCACGTAAATCTTTAGCTCAATGTTGCAGAACAACATCGGCAGTGCCATAGGAAAATTGGCTTCGGTCTTCAGCGAGATATGTCTATATCCAGCCTGAAGGCCATCCAATGGCAGAATACGTTGACCCAACAGCTTGCCGGACTCTTCGTACACGCCTGTATTAGCAACAAATAATAAGCAATTTCTTTACATGCGACTGGATTTTCTTCATCTTACATTTGACTTACAGTTAGGACTGCGGATTTTATACATTTACAACAGAAACGTGTGACTGTAATTTTTAAGAGTAGAAAGAGTGAAAGTACTTTTTTCAACCTGTTATAATTATTGAAAACAGGAAAAACTTTCGAAATGACTGTTGTTTCTTGCAACAGATGCAGACAATTTTTATTTTCTATGAAATTCCGCAGTCTGCTAATAGTGGAAGACAGCCTTTTAAATTTGTTATTCATTATTAGACTGCGGGTTCTATGCATTTATTACAAAATTGAGTAGCTGCAGTTTGAAGCAATAGAAAGATTAGAAGAATTTAAAAAGGTTAATATACTATTCTCACTCTATTAAAATGATTAAAGAAGGCTGAACCTGTTATTTATTTTTTATTTTTTGCAATCGACCAAGAACATTTTTATTTTGCGTAAAACTCCGCGGTCTATTAATTATGATCATTCTATTTCACGTGGCTAGCACCAAAGTAATTAATTGATTATTTTCTTTGTTATATTCTTTTTCGATGCATTGTTTCAAAAAATACGTAGATTCGCTAGATTCGTGGGAAACATCTATGTACAGGGTGACCGGTTTGAATCTTGAAATGCAAATGCATTTTCAACATCAGTTCATCAAAAATTCTACAATATTTTATAGCAAACGCATGGTGGGTGCTAATTATTTGAGTATTTAAGATTGATTTCACATTACCAAATCTGAGCACTGCTAAGTCTGGGAGCACAACTTTTCGGAAAAGGAACGGTTCCTCGTTGTAAACTGGATTTAAGCCGTTCGCTGGAACCATTCTCGTTCTAAATTCCTTCTTGATGGTGTCTGCCGGCAGACCGAACATGTCTACTTCGACGTAAGTGCCCACTTTCTTCTCAGACAGAAACTGTCCTGCTATCACCTATCAATCAGATGAGGTTGATTAACACGTTCCGTGCCGAGCTTTTTTTACTCGAATCTTCACACTTTGATATTTTACTAAAACTTGATGTATTACGTGCAATTATTAATTCTCGTACACATAACAACGTAACAAAAACTTATCAACGCCCATTCTTGCGGTGGAAATTGATTCTTCGGTTCTAAATTTCTTGTAAACAATTTGTTCAGTTCACTAAGTAAACATGCAAGCGTGTACC